TGTTAAAAAGGCTGTCGTTCCCCCACTTCACTGATTTCATCTCCTTGTCAAAGATCAGTTGACCATAGATAGATGGGTTGATCTCTGGATTCTCAATTCGGTTCCATTGATCTATGTGTCTGTCATTGTACCAGTACCATGCTGTCTTGACTACTACGGCAGTGTAGTAGGATTTGAAATCAGGGGAGACTTTATTTATAAAAATGAAAACTAAAAAAAATCAAACAAAAACTTGGAGTTTTGAGTTTCTCCATATGGAAAGGAGCTGAGCCCAAGTCCCCTCAATGACCCAAAGCCTGGGCCTCTGTGGCCTGTCCCCTCACAACAGCAAAAGTGGAACCCACACGTCTCTTCTTGCCCCTTGGGGTTGTGTGGGGTTCAGCCGGCGGCGGACAAACCCCCCTTCCTCTCTGATGCAGGTGGCATCTCCCACCACTTCCACTCAAGGCAGCACCCCCGACACTCCTGCCTTCACACAGGAACTCTACCTTCTTCTCTCCCATCACCAGATCGCTGGAATTGAGGTGGAACAAGAGTTTGGTGTGAGCACCAGCAAGCCTGGCAATTTCCTGGTCTCTCTGCCCTTTGACGGCATCCTGGGCCTGGTGTACCCTGCCCTTGGCATGAACAGCACTACTCCTATTTTTGACACCCTGTGGAAAGGAGGCCACATTGCTGAGGGCATCTTTGCCTTCTATTTGTCCAGGTAAGTCTGGCCTGGGGAAAAAAAAGCAAAGCCCTTTTGACCTGGCTGTGGACCAAGAGATAAGCAGTTTGAATCCACTAGCCACTCCACAGAAGAGAAGCAGCAGTCTGTTCCTGCAGAATTAGATTTACAGCTTGGGAGCTCCATTCCTGCTGCAGGATCACCGAGTTGAAATTGAAAGGGCGGGGTTGGCTTAGGTTTGGGTTTTCCAGGATGGATCACCAGGCCTTTCTTCCAGGGGCATCTCAAACATCACCCCATTCCGTTAACTGAGCCTGATTTGGCTGTGTCTGTTGTTGTTGTTGTTGTTATGTGCCGTCGAGTCCCTTGCGACTCATAACGACCCTATGTACAACAGCCCTAAACCGTGCTCTATCCTCTGCCAATCTGACACACCCATTGCCTCTGACACACCCACCCCGATTACCCCAGTCACTGAATCAATCCACCTCAAAAGGGGCCTTCCCCTCCTGCGCTGTCCCTCCACCCTCCCAAGCATGATGTCCCTCTCCAAGGACCTGTCTCTCCTTACAACATGTCCAAAGTATGTCAGACGAAGCCCCAGAATCCTTGCCTCCAAGGAGCAGCCTGGTTTAATCCTCTCTACAATCAATCTGTTTGTTTTCTTGGCAGTCCATGGTACATTCAATACTCTTCCCCAGCACCACAGCTCAAAGGCATCAATTCTCCTTCTATCCTCCCTAGTCATTGTCCAACTCTCTGATGCATAACAAGTGATTGCAAAAACCATGGCCTGTATCAGGGGCACCTTAGTCTCCAGAGAGACACCGTTGCTCTTGAGTACTTTAGAGAGGTCCCTAACCGCAGACTTTCCCATCGCAATATGTTTTATGATTTCCTGGCTACTGGTGCCAAGAGTGTTGACCGTGGAGCCGAGCAAACTGAAGCTGTGAACAATCTCAATCTCTTCTTCGCCATCCATCCTGATGCTACCGATTGGTCCAGTGGTGAGAATTTTTGTCTTCTTGACATTGAGCCTCAGTCCATATTGTGTCTGTTAGGGACTGCTAAATAAGCCCTCTCTCCAAGACGGTTGAAAGAAAAATGATATGAAAATTCATAGGCCTTCAGATCCAGATGTTTCTTTAGACATAGTCTTGTCTAGGGGCTGGAGAAATCCGTAGACCATTTGGTCCACAGGCCAAGTCCAGCCCACCACCTGTTTTTGTGTATAAAGTTTTATTGGAATGCAGCCATGTTCAAGTATGATCTGTAGCTGCTTTGTGTTCCAACAGCAGAGCTGAGTAAGTGAAGTGGGGGCATTGGAGCTCACTCAGCCTAAAACAGCCACTATCTGGCCCTTGACCAAAAAAGTTCATGGTCCTTGTCATCCCCATGCCCTTCACTGACAAGATGAGGAAACTGAGGCCCAGAAAGGGCCTTGCACACGACTGTGCTCAGTGTAGTACAGAAAATTGCAGGACGTGAGCTCAGCCCTTGGGACCCTCCCTACTGGTGGGTGGTATCCAGTCATTGCAAACTGACTCCCTGGTCTGGGGAGTAGAGGACTCAGGAGAAGCATAGACAAGACAGTCCTCATTTAGGGAGACTTTTCTCGCCAGAAGAAGCAGCTGCAGGAGGATGGTAACCTCATGCCTCAAATAAGTAAGTTCACACTGCAGAGCTGGGATCTGAACTCCTTCCAAACTGTAACCACAGGCTAAGGCCCCAGGTGCACGGCTGGGGAACAGGAGGTCATGCCCTCATCCATGCAGTCCCTGTGGGCCTGTTACCTTCTCTGAAGCCTGGCTGGTCAGACAAGATGGGCCGTGCCTGCTGGCACTTCCTTCTCTGAGGTGTCCTGGGTCCATGCTTGTTAAATGGGCCTGCTCTCTGTGAAGGAGCATGAGTAGGTGAGCCCAGACCTGAAGCCAGACTGCCTGGATCAAATCTCAGCTTCCTCCCTCAGCAGCCTTGGGACCAACAGAGAACATGTGCCTACCTTCTCCTTGTCCTGAGTCCTCATCTATGCAGCGGCGCTATGGCACTGCCTCCTCCTCAGGCAGCACTGTGTGGACTGGGTGGGAGAAGGCCAGCGTGGCTCTGGGTACATGAGGCCACTGGTTCCCCCGACAATGAACCTCCCTCTTCCTTCTCCCCTGCAGCAACGGAGAGAACGGCAGTGTGGCCATGTTCGGTGGCGTGGACAAATCCTACTACAAAGGAGAGCTCAACTGGGTGCCTCTGTCCAGACCCCTCTTCTGGCAGGTCACCATGGACCGGTAAGACCCTCCCTCTGAGTCCTGTCCCAGTGATGCCCCTCAGTTACACTACTACACAATCATAGAATTAGACTGCGTTAGACACAGAAAACAGACTCAGAAAGACACACACGAACACATGTAAACACACAAAATCACAGAGACACACTCTTCGTTAGATACATATACACACCAACACACACACATTTGTGTGCACACCTTTACACATACATATTCAGACATGCACAGATGCAATCACGTGAGATACACAGGATCAAACAGATGATCACACACACAAAGACGCACATTATGACCTATGACCCAGACACACACAGATACTTTCACGTGAGACCCTGACACAAAGACACAGATGTATACACACACGTGGATCTGTGCCGTTATACACACAGACACAATTTGTGCCACAAAGGCCTGTCCCTTCTTGTCAGTCAAACATGTTAGGAACACTCTGTGTGCTCACACGTGCGGGAGGCAGAGTGCATGGTCTGTTCTGAGCAGCCTCCCATGTGGTGGAACAGCCACACGACATGGGGATTGCCATCCACAGTGAATTACTACCATCCACACAAGAAACGAGGATGGATATGGTGGAACTGACCTGGAGGAGGCTCCTCTAGTGTGTGGGGAAGACATGCCTGAAAATCTGACAAGTAAATGGGATCCTAGAGGAGGAGAAAGAAGTTCCCCATGCAGAGAGGCCTGGAACTGCTCCTGACAGATAGCACAGCAAGTGCAAAGGCCCTGGGGCATGAAGTAAGTGGTTCATTCAAAAACAGCAAGGAGATCAGAGAAGGTCAGTGTGCCCAGCACAACAGGAAAACAGAAAGGGAGGCATGAGCTGAAGGGCTGATCTTTAGATGTTCAGGAAGCAGGCTAGGGAACTGGGCTGGGTGGTCCAGTGACCCCAGGCCCTGCTTTGTCCCCTTCTCACAGTATTTCCATGGAAGGCATGACCGTTGCCTGCAGAGATGGATGCCAGGCCATTTTGGATACTGGAACCTCGTTGCTCGTCGGACCATATATGGACATCTACAACATCCACAGTCTCATCAAGGCCCAGAAAAGCCTTAATGGCGAGGTACAGGGCTGTTCCAGAGGGTCAGTGCAGCAGCCCTCACACGGAACGGTGCTGGACCAACCTTCTCCCACCTTCTCTGTCTCTTACAGTACGTCGTGGACTGTGAAGCCGTTCACACCCTCCCTGATATTGTCTTTGCCATCAATGGCATTAACTACACAGTGCCAGCCAGCACCTACACACAACAGGTGAGAGGCAGGGTCCAGAGAGCTGAGCACTTGCCGCATTTGCTGGTCAGTGCTGATGGAAGTCCGCCTGGTGTCCAAACCATGCCACTGCAGCTGTGGTCAAGCGCACCTGGCTTTGGTGCCTTAACAAAATATCTTTTTGCCAGGGGCGGCCTGGGAGCTATTTACCTGTAGATAATTGCTGCTCTGTCACTCCATGCACTAGCATAACGGGGAAGGGGCACTAAAGGCCCTCCCTCAAGGATCTTCCAGTTCAGCTAAGAAACTGAGATGGCCCAAACTTGCTACAGAATTCCTAAGTGGCTCAAAGGGACAGAGGCAGAGCCAACTCACCGTAACCACACAGAGTGTCCCCTTCCATGTCAGATTTTCCTGCTTTGGCTGATAAATTATATGATCAGCCTGGTTCTACTAGGCACTCACTTCATCTTGCTAAGCCTCAGTTCCTACTTCTGTAAATGGGATAACAGCCCCTCCAAAATTTATAGAGCAGTCAGAATGATGGGCTATCGGCATGAATAAATGAATAATGCACAGTGTCTGTAGCCCCCAGTGCCTGGCACGTAACTGACGCTACATAAATGCCAGCTTCCCACGGGAGTTTAGAGAATGTGGGATGGCAGAAGGCTTGAGGAAGAGAAGGAATGGAAACAATTCTAGGCTTAGGTAAGGGGCTCTCATGGTGTAGTTGCAATGCTCTTTTATGTTGTATTGCAAATTGAAAGGCTAGCAGTTCAAATCCACCTGCGACTCTCAGGGAGACAGACAAACAGCTTGCTCTAAAGATTTCAAGTTCAGCTGAAGGAGCAGAGATTATTAAATGGATGGAGAGGGCAAAGGGAATGGGAGAGTACAGTGAGAATTCAGTAAGACATCGTGACTAAAGCCATTGTACAACTTAAACAATGTTCTGAAACACAATCTATATGAGTGATTGCATGAAAACAATTTTTTAAAAAAAAATTTCAATCTCAGAAATCCAAAGAAAGGTCACTCTGATTCAGAGTTGATTCCATGGTTAGGTTCACTGAGGAGTCTCTGGGGTGGCACAACTAGTTAAAGAGTTTGGCTGCTAAACCAACAGACTGGTAGTTAGATTGTACTCAGAGGTGCCTAGGAAGAGAGGCCTGGCAATCTACTCCTGAAAAATGGCAGCCATTGAAAAGCACAGAAGTGCATGCAATTCTATTCTGAAACAAATCTCTGTGAGTCAGAATCAACTGGTTGGCGAATGCTTTGTTCATAAACTTAACTAATGTGGCTGCTGCCCCGCAGGTCTTACAGGAGGGCTGATGAGTGGGGTTCAGAAGCGGGCTTTAGACACATCCCTGCTCAATGCTGGGCAGCATGGCAGCCCCAAGTACACAGGCCGGCAGGTCAGGGCAATCAATACAGCGTGGTGACAAAAGCACCAGGTACAGAGGAGCACAAGGGAAAGTCGCCCCACCTCGTCAGGAGTGGCTGAGAAGGGAAGGCAGTCCAGGAAGGCTGCCTGGAGGAGGTGACGGGGGTGCTGTCTTGAACTAATTAGAGGGTAAGGAGAGAACAGGCCATCTCTGCAGAGAATAGCTCAGTGAGGGATCAGGGGGAAAGAAGGTGCAGTGTGAGGGTTCTGCAAGGAGTTCCAGTGCCTGGGGCCACCCTCCACCCCACCCCACTCCCCACCCTACCCCACCCACCCCACTCCACCCCACCCCCTGCCCCTGCTGAAGGGGCCTCCAGGCCTACAGAGGAGGCAGATAAAACCAGAAAATTGCATGCTGAGATGCTGGATGCTGGGTGGGTGTGTGGCATGGTTGTCTGAACATATGCATTTCCTGTCTCCCCTAGTATGGGAAATGGTGCTACAGTAACTTCGAACAACCACCCTCCGACCTATTGAAACAGAACTGGATTCTAGGAGACGCCTTCCTGAGGCTGTATTTCTCTGTCTACGATCGGGAAAAGAACAGAATTGGCTTGGCGCCCGCAGCATAAATCTAAATAACGTGGCCCAGCGCAAGTGCACGCAGGACACATTCCCCTCCTGGAAGGCCACAGGAACCAAGGTAGAAGACCACGAGCCTCCATTCTCCCAGAGACAAAAAAGACTGTAATGGAGCCCCCTTCTGATTGGTCCAGGGCAGGATACACAACTGATTGGCCCACAACAGGTCATGTGTTTGTCTCTGAACCAAAGGCATTTGATTTGAGTGGTCAAGTTCTAAGATGTTTGTACCAAAAAGAAAAATGAGAGACTCATTGCTTCCAGCCGATTCCAACTCAGGATGACCCCATGTTACAGTGAACACTGACACACATGGTTCTCCTGCCTATAAACTTTTTGGACACAGACCACCTAGTCTTTTCTTCCAAAGTATCATTCTGTGAATTTGAACTATCAACTTCTATGTTCTTTTTTCATCCAGGAACATCACCAGAAATAAATTTGGCTTTCTGGAGACAAGTGACCACTTTCGTTGTTGTTGTTGTTACTGTTGTTGATTGCCATCGAGCTGAGCACAACTCACAGCAACCCTGTGTATGAAAGACCTGAGGCCTTTATATAACTATCATCATTTCTCAAAGTTCATAGAGTTTCCAGAGGCATGTTGTTTAGGAAGTGGATGCCACTCTGACTTCCAAACCTGTCTTAAACTGGGAGCTCCACCAAACACTGTCCACCATGAGTAACTGTTAGGACATTTAACACCCCAATGGCACAAGGTTCAGCATCACAACAACTCCAGGTTAGCTCAGTACAGCAAATTAAAAGTAACCTAGCAGACATTAACACAAACTGCACTCAACTAATTAGTATGCATTTTCTCAAATTCACACAGAGTATTAACCATGAGAGAACACATATTAGTTATAAAGCCACATTCAACATAATTCAAAGGAGACACTAAAACAGTATTCGTTACGCTGTACTTAGAAAAATAAAGGCCAGAGTTTGTGCATACATGTTTAAAGTAAGCATTTTTCGGCAGGAGAGTAGAGAAGTACAATTTGCTTGTAAATCAGGACACTTTTCTGTATCCTTGATTTTGAATGATGGGCTTAACCAAGAAAATCATTTCGCCAGCAGTCAATGCATCTGATTAACAAACTGCATGTACAACGTGGCTGCTGTGCTGAGTGTACCACATCTTAAGGGCCTCTTTGCTCTTCACATCTTCCAGAGCGCTCTCTGCAGCGCAGCAGCGAAGGCTCAGAGACAGGCAGGCACTCCCTTAGAGCAACACAGCATGGCTGAGGCCTGACAGTGAGTGAAGCCTGAGATAGGCCATACCCAATGTGATAGTGCCCCCTGGTGTCCCACTCACCACCACAGGCTGCCGGAAATAACTCGTCCACAACAGCACCTTGGAGGGCTGACAAGAAGGCCCAGCTAAAAACCAAATTTCCAAAATTGCTATCAGAGTATATTTTTTCATGAAGCAAATGTGCCCAAAGAACTGAATTCCAAGTCTTTTGTTTCCAGTGTGGAAAGCCTAGTCAGGGTCACATAAACCGTAAATATAAAAAAATGCTTCAAGAGAGTAAAGGGGCAGAAGGGAAGCCTCCTGTCACTTACTTCCAATGCAGTTCTCATAAACACACAGCTCAGTAACACCCCAAGTATGTGTTGGTAGCAGAAGAGCAATCAGACTGACTGGGTCTTGGTTCTCTCTGGGCCATAAAGAATGATCAACACAGCATCACTATACGACTGGAGAAGCCTTGAGTATGCATGGACACTGCTGGTAAGATAATCCACTTTCTTCTGAACATTACTCTAAGATACTTAGTGTTATAATGGATGGTGAAGAGATTGAGATTGTACACAGCTTTAGTTTGCTTGGCTCCATAGTCAACAGTCTTGGCACCAGCAACCAGGAAATTAAAAGGCGCATTGCCATGGGCAAGTCTGCTGTTAGGGACCTCTCCAAAGTGCTGAAGAGCAATGGTGTCTCTTTGGAGACTAAGGTGCGTCTGATACAGGCCATGGTCTTCTCAATCACTTGTTATGCATCAGAGAGTTGGACAATGACCAAGGAGGATAGAAGGAGAATTGATGCCTTTGAGCTGTGGTGCTGGAGAAGAGTACTGAGAATACCATGGACTGCTAGGAAAACAAACAGATTTGTCCTGGAAAGGGATAAACCGGGTGGCTCCTTGGAGGCAAGGATTCTGAAGCTCCATCTAACATACTTTGGACGTATTGTGAGGAGAGACCGGTCCTTAGAGAGGGACATCATACTTGGGAGGGTGGAGGGACGGCGCAGGAGAGGAAGGCCCTCTATGAGGTGGATTGATTCAGTGACTGGGATAATTGGGATGGGAGTGTCGGAGACGGTGCGATTGGCACAGGACAGAGTGGAGTTTAGGGCTGTTGTACACAGGGTCGCTATGAGTCGCAAGCAACTCGACGGCACATAACAACAACAACAACAGCGTTATAATATTTTAGTAATTTTCTTTTCCCCCTCTAATTTGCTATTTTAAGCATTTTCTTAAAACCCTGCAAACAAATAACAAACTTCCCTGTTAAACTGTATATAAAATTGAGTGTTATATTCCTATCAATTTCTAGTCATATCTAAAACTTCTGAACTTTTATTTAAAAAAAAACAACCTACACTTGTCATTAAAATTATTACAAATATTAAAGTTCTTTTCACCCTATTATTTGAAATAGTGTTAACTCATTGCCAGTACATTGCACATAGGATTTTCAAAGGCTTGTTATATTTCAGATGTGGATGGCTAATGTTTTTTCCTGGATAATGACTAAGGATGACAGGAGAAGAATTAGTGTCTTTGAGTGGTGGTGTTGGAGAAGAGTCTTGAACATACCATGGACTGTGAAGAAAACAAGCAGGTCTTTCCTAGAGAGGATTAAACCTGAGTCTCACATACTATGGGCATGTGGCCAGGAGGGACTGATCCTTGGAGAAGGACATCATGCTTAGAAGAGTGGAGGGAACGCAAAGGAGAGGAAGATCTCGGACAACTTGGATTGATATAGTAACTGGGGCAATTGGGGTTGGTGTGACTGGTTCAGGACAGGGTAGGCTTCAGAGCTATTGTACATAGGGTCACTATGAGTCACAGGCAAGTTGACAGCACATAACACAACAACGTTGCCAGTATGCTTCAATATACACCCAGAGTTAAAAGTATATTGCCAGCTCTTTAAGGTAATAACTAACCTTCAATAGCAAACTTTCTCTTAAAAGTATACAAAGATGTTGTTGTTGTTGTTGTTGTTGTTGTTGTTAGGTGCCATTGAGTCACAGATGACTCGTAGCAACCCTATGAACAAAAGACCTGAACACTTGTATAGCTTTCATCATTTCTCCACGTTCATAGAGTTTCCAGGGGCAAGCTATTTTAGAAGTGGATGCCACTCCTGCTTCTTCCAAGCTTGTTTTAATATAGGAGTTCCACCAAGCACTGTCTTTGGCCTCCTATTTAAAAATGCATTTGGCCAGCAGTATGGGGCTGGAATCCATGTTGGAAGTCATCTGGAGCAGCTGGATTCTACAGAGGTTTGCTTCCTGGTTCTGGTGAGGTTTAGGATGGAATGTTTACTCTATTGAGTGTGACTATTGAGTGTGAGTTGATTGCATTCGGCCTCCCATTTAAAAACACATTTGGCCAGAAGTATGGGGCTGGAGTACGGATTGGAAGTCTTCAGGAGTGGAAGGATTGGAAGGAGTGGTATCCACTTCTAAAACAGCTTGCCTCCAGAAACTCTATAAACATGGAGAAATGATGACAATTATACAAGTGTTCAGGTCTTTCGTTCATAGGGTCACTATGAGTCTACTACTTGACAGCACCAAACAACAATCTCCTGTTGCCCTAGGAGATATAAAGTAATGCTATCGAGCCAAAGGTGTGTGATTTTAATCTGTGGCACTCAGGCCTGGTTTTAATTGTTTTTGGTCAAACATTCTTATAAGTGGTATAACACTGGTCTGTGCATTGCTATACAGAGGTAACTCGTGGTTGCTGTCATGCTTAATACTGTGACACTGATGTGTCAAAGGCGATAATGATTACCCATGACAGACAGTGTTTGGTGGAGCTTCTCAATTAAAACAAGCTTGAAAGCAGGAATGGCATCCACTTCTGAAATAGCTTGCCTCCAGAAACTCTATGAATGTGGAGAAACGATGAAAGTTATACAAATGTTCAGGTCTTAAGTTCATAGGGTCGCTATGAGTTATTTACAGCTCAATGACACCAAACAACAATACAAAAATGAGTACTCATCAATTAAAAGAAACTCACTCAGCCAATTAATGCAGAAACTCCTATAAGACCAATTTTTTTCATTTTTTTTATTTTGTACTGACTTATTTACAAAATTTGAATACATTGCTGTTCACAAAAGACCATTCCAATTTCCTTCAACCCCCTTTACCCACAGAATTGTGCAGCCTTTTGATTAACACCCCACACTTTTCTTATCCATCCTCACCCCTCTACTTCCACCCTCCCCACTGCAGTAGATCTTCATACTCATTCTATAATAATGGTTTTATACAGTATTTGTCCTTTTGGGACTGAGTTAGTTCACTCAGCATAATGCTCTTTAGTCTTTCCCAAGTTAGGTAGTAATTTACAAAATTATTGCTACTGTGTGCTGCATAGTAGTCCATTGTATGAATGTACCACAACTTCCCAATCTATTCATTTGTGGTTGGACATCTGAACTACTTCCATGTCTGTCAATGGTGAATAATGCTGCTGTGAACATTGTGTATAAGTCTCCGTTTGAGCCTCAGTTCTCTTTTTCTAGCGGTATAACCCAAGCAATGGAATAGTTGATCATATGGAATTTCTATGTTCAGCTCTTTGAGAAAGCACCAAACTGTCTTCCAGAGTGGTATATCATTTACAATCCCACCAACATTGTATAAAAGTTCCTATCTCACCACATCCTCTCCAATATTGATTGCTTGCTGTCCTGTTAAACTTTGCCACTGCTACTGGAGTGAGAT